GCCCACACTTGTGTTTTTGTCTTTGTCTTTATCTTTGTCTTTAACACAAAGACCATGTTCCGGTCAGAGACACCCCACACTATTTTTTTGTCTTTGTCTTTGTCTTTATCTTTTAACACAAAGAGCATGTTCCGGCCAGATACACCCCACATGTTTTTTTTTTCCTTGTCTTTGTCTTTGTCTTTGTCTTTATCTTTAAAACAAAGACGATGCTCCGGTCAGAGACACCCCACACATTTTTTTCCTTGTCTTTGTCTTTGTCTTTGTCTTTGTCCTTGCTTTTCAACACAAAGACGATGTTCCGGTCAGATACACCCCACACCTTTTCTTATGCTCTGTTTTTGCCTTTGTCTATTTCTTTGTCTTTGTCTTTTAACACAAAGAGCATGTTCCGGTCGGATACACCCCACACCTTTTTTTCCTTGTCTTTGTCTTTGTCTTTAAACACAAACGGGAAGGCCGGGTGAGAGACACCCCACACTTTTTTTTGTCTTTGTCTTTCTCTTTGTCTTTGTCTTTAACACAAAGACAATGTTCCTGTCATATACACCCCACACTTTTGTTTTAATGCTTTGTCTTTGTCTTTGCCTTTAACACGAAGACGATGTTCCGGTCAGATACACCCCACACTTGTTTTTTCTTGTCTTTGTCTTTGTCTTTATCTTTCAACACAAAGAGTATGTTCCAGCCAGAGACACCCCACACTTTCTTTTTTGCCTTTGTCTTTGTACTTGTCTGCGTGTTTAACACAAAGACGATGTCCTGGTCAGAGACACCCCACACCTTTTTTTATGCTTTGTCTTTGTCTTTGTCTTTAACACAAAGACGATATTCCGGTCAGATACACCCCACACTTTTTTTAATGCTGTCTTTGTCTTTGTCTTTAACACAAAAGCGATGTTCCGGTCAGATACACCCCACACTTTTTTTTTGTCTTTGTCTTTGTGTATTTCTTTGTCTTTGTCTTTTAACACGACGAGCATGCTCCGGTCAGATACACCCCACACTTTTTTTCCTTGTCTTTGCCTCTGTTTTTGCCTTTGTCTTTGTCTTTAACACAAAGACGATGTTCCGGTCATATACACCCCACGCTTTTTTTTGTCTTTGTCTTTGTCTTTGTTCTTGTCTTTTAACACAAAGACGATGTTCTGCTAAAGACAAAAACAAAAACACAAGTGTGGGGTGTCTCTGACCCCACACTTGTGCTTTTGTCTTTGTCTTTGTCTTTGTCTTTAAGACAAAGACGATGTTCCGGTCATATACACCCCACACTTTGTTTTGTCTTTGTCTTTGTCTCTAAAACAAAGTCTTTGTCTTTGTCTTTGCCTTTATGTTTAATACAAAGAGGATGTTCCGGTCAGATACACCCCACATTTTTTTTAATGCTTTGTCTTTGTCTTTAACACAAAGACGACGTTCCAGTCATATACACCCCATACTTTTTTTGTCTATGTCTTTGTCTTTTTCTTTTAACACAAAGGGGATGTTCCCGCCAGAGACACCCCACACCCCACACTTTCTTTTTTGTCTTTGTCTTTGTCTGTGTCTTCAACACAAAGACGATGATCCGATCAGAGACACCCCACACCTTTTTTTATTGCTTTGTCTTTGTCTTTGTCTGTGTCTTTAACACAAATACCATGTTCCGGCCATATACACCCCACACCTTTATTTTATGCTTTGTCTTTGTCTTAAATACAAAGACGATGTTCCGGTCAGATACACCCCACACTTTTTCTTTATGCTTTGTCCTTGTCTTTGTCTTTGTCTTCAAGACAAAGACCATGTTCCGGTCATATACACCCCACACTTTTTTTTGTGTTTGTCTTTGTCTTTAACACAAAGAGAATGTTCCGGTCATAAACACCCCACACTATTTTTTTGTCTTTCTCCTTGTCCTTAACACAAAGACGACGTTCCAGTCATATACACCCCACACTCTTTTTGTCTTTGTCTTTGTTGTCTTTGTCTTTGTCTTTAGCACAAAGTCTTTGTC